GTGATAAACTCAGCTTCAATGTCGTCATCTTCTATCATTGCTAGCGCCTCATGCCCCTGAAACAAATGTTCCTTCTCAAAATAATTACTTATTTAAAAATAATTTACCTAAAACCATTTTATTTTTGTTTTGACTATGAACATATTCGTAGACCCATTTTCTCCTGATGTACAAAGCATAAATGAAACACATCATAAAATCATAAAATCTAGAAGCCGCAACTAAGGAAATAATATTTTCATAAAAATAAACTAGTTTTCTTTTATTTTATGTCATAAAAAACCTACTTACTTACCTTACTTACTACAAAAACTGATTTCACAATATATTGCACAATACGCGAAATTACACCGTACTATACGAGATCCACCCGCAAACTGTCGCCGCGAGCTATTCAATTTAACCAAATCGTACAGATATCTACAGGAACAAACAAGTTTAGGTTCTACTATTCATAGTACATTAGGCATAAATGGGTTAACAGTCTATGCTTGTCTTTTTTTTCTATTTATATACTTCCTGCGTCCATCATGAGCAGGTGCAGTTGCTAATTTCTTAATTTTTCTATCATATAAAGCGACGTTTTTGGAGGGTACGATCTTCTGAATCCCTTTTAAAGAAAATTGACACAATAATGTCCACTAGTCAGATGAACAAGGCGAGGTATTGGAGGACATGCGAATCCAAATATGTCCCGCGTCCTTTGGACCGAAAACATCTGGTCAATGTACGCAACAGTATAGGCCTAGAACGGTGCCTTGGGGTACTCCATACTGAATCGTTTTCAGATCACTCACTGGATTATCTATTCTTACAAGCTGAGCACTGTCAGATAAGTAACTGTGAAAAAGCTTTGGACAATTACCTCTAATGTTATGTCCTCCAGTACTTGCAAAAGCAACTTGTGACTGACAGTATCAAATGCTTTCAATAATTCAGAGAAGCTAGGCTTGTTTTTATCTAGGGCACTATACATCCGTGAGGTAACTGCTAAAATTGCATCATTCCTATGTAGATACGTTTTGTTTGAACCCGTATTGTTTATTCGATATATTGTATTTTGATAGGACGATAGCATTTTCTTTATACAGTTTTTCGAATATTTTTGCAGGGTGTGTTATGAAAGATATAGCTTTGTACTTCATTATTAACTGGTAATCTCCTTCTTTGTATACCGTGCCCTTAAAAGCTTTTGGCCAATGTCCCTATGCTGCACAAAAATTAAAAATGTATGCTAGTTGTTCTGCAGTGCGAATTTCGTCTGCTCCGGGGATTTTTTTAGCCATGTATTGTCCTGTTTCACCGAAGACATCATTAAATTCGTTCGCTATTGTTTTTTTTCTGTAAGAAGTTGTCCACTAATAATTTTTATTATTGTTACATTTTCCGTGTTCTTGTTATTTTGAGATATCTCTCTTACCTCTTTCTAAAGAGACTTTTTGTTTGTTGAGTTAGTTACTACAGTAACAACACAAATAACTTCAAAAACAACACAAATAACTTCAAATCCACATTTTTGAACTAAATTTATCACATGTTCAACCAAAGGTGTCATTTCATCACCTGTTAGATTTGAAACTGGTAGTAATTTGATAATTTCTGTTATGTTTCCAAATGCTGAAGATAGCATGAAGGCTAAAACAGTTTTAGCCATGTCATTTTTATTTGAGGCATACCCAACATAGTTTTGTGAGCGATAGTCCAGCCTAGATGTTATATAAATTTCATCGATCATCAAAATTACAATTTTTTCTCTTGGAGCTAATTTAATTGCTATATTCGAAAGGTAGTGTTCATTATTCCTATCATTTTTTTGGAGATATATCCATACTTGAGGAGATAATGTTGTAAGTATCGCTTACTTGGCAAAATAAAAAATCTTTTAATTAAATTATATGTTGATGATGAGTGGTTATTAAACGTAAAAGCCATTATTATTGAAAGTGATGCATATCTGTTTTTCCTGTTTTGAATTTGTCTCAGCTGATCAGCAATAATCTCTAGATTTTTTGTATATGGAAACATATAACTGAGTCATAATTAATTATGGAAATCGCTGTGTCAAGTTGTTCCAATGCATTCATGATGCAAACTTCAACAGAGTTTTTGTGTTGGTTCTCAGAAAAATAGAAAAAATACCTATTTAGCAGGTTTTCTAATTGGGACCATCTGGTAATTTTGAGATCATATGGCAAAACCCACTTCAAGTCACGAAAAGAAAGCTTACATCCTTTATGAACAACCTGAACTTCCATCTGACCATCAACTATAATCTGTGTATTCAAAGTTAAGATATCATTTTCAAAATCCAATTTATAAAAATATAGCTTTCCATCAGATAATTTATTATTCCATTTCTGTGAGGCTTTAATTTTTGAAAATGAAGAATGTAATTCTTGAAAGTCTTTGACCTTATCCATATCATCGAAATTCTGGATAGCTTTTTCATGTTTCTCAATTAATTTTTGTTTTCTTTGCATTGGGTCAGTTCTTTTGGGTGCTTCAGTTTTTGAAAGATATGATGGCAAGTTTGGGAAAATGGAGGGAACAGCATTTTCTTTCAATTTTGGATATTTCAAAGGTATATCATTTTGGACTGTTCCATCCGCCAAAACTATATTTTCTGTCCTGATGATATCCGATTCTCTAAAATGACGACTGCACACAGCTGAATATTTTGAAGGTGTCCAATTTTTTCTGGGAATTGCCATAAGCCATTTGTTTTTCAGACTTTCGGTACTTGGTAAGCGAAAAGTTGAAACATAGCTTTCTGTTTTCAAAGCAGAATTATAGTTTGCATTGCATAAAGGAACACAGCAACAACGAGGCATATTATCTGCGTCAAATACTTGATAAATGAAAAAAGAAAAATACAACGTGAATTTGCACGTTTTCAATAGTTGAAGTCCTTAGCGTCTTGAGGCGCGAACAGCCACAGTCACACTTCTTAGTTTATTTTTAAAGCACAGAAGCACTACAACTGGAGTCTATTTCTCATATATTATAGTCACCAATCACTTTGAACACATACACACACTTTGAAGCTTAGAAAACAAGCTTATCTCTTAATTACAGCCTCTGCGATTCCCAAATCACAAATTGAAAAGGTTATGTTTTCTCAGCGTTTTGAGCACAAGTTGCGTCGATGCAGCAAGCAGCGGCGGGAGTAACACTACCACCTACGTTGCCAGATTTCTTTGTTCACGGCTCGTAGTTGACGTCGGCTGTGGTACTACCCATCAAAAAAACGTCCGTCCTCTCTGCCGCACCCTGTATTTGCTTTTGCTATTAATTTTCTCAATTTATTTTTCTATGTGTTGTGCTGCTCCCGATGCTCCATATCATCTGATTGATGTGTTTGAATAGCTTGTTCTTTATATCTGTAGATTTTACGAGACCATTTGTGATCCAATGTGCTATTTTTGTATTTTTTCATATGTCCTTTTTCAAATATGCACAATCATCTTATAGCCCGGGAAAAATATCTACAAATACGTAAGTTGTAAGTCAGTAGCATGGAAAATAATTTTCTTTTCTCCCATTATTATATGTCAAAATTTTAAGTCACTACCTGAACCCATTCCAAAAAAGACTGGATTTCAATCAACTGTTAGGCCTGTGTGAAAATTATATTTCTCTATAATATAATCGAACCAATATTTCAACAAGCTGTCAGCTATATATCTCACTCGACTTTCACCAACACCCCTAATCCTCAATAAAGACGCCGTTCGACTCGGTACCCCTACCCCAAAAATTCCATCGGTTCAAGTCGAAATACTTTAAGTAAAGGGCAAGAACGCCACGGAGGCTAAAACTTTCCCTATGATGTACGATCCTGCAGCGATGCTTACGTGACTTAAATTTTAAAGCATCTTATTGTTTTTTTCCAAATATCCCCCGACCGAAACAGAGGGCTCACATAATTTGATCCCGGTTTGATTAATGGAGAGAATGCAGAAGATGAACATATGCTTCATCCGAAAAGGAAAAATAGAATGGCCTGGAGAAATGAATGTTGTACTGACTGCAGACGTTTTGACAAATTGGCTTTATAATTTCATATTTCAAGTGGGAGCAGGGGAGGAGATGGAATTTCGAGGATAGATGGTATATTATTCATTCGTTGACATGCTTGGTTGGTCATCCATCTATCAACTTCGAATTTGAATCGGCATTGTTGTAAATAGCAGTCTCAATCCGTTGGTTTATTTATCTTGATCGATGATCAAAACTACTCGTTGAAGGTCACTCTGCAAGGTTTTAATTATGGTAATGATAGGCCGTAATTACAGGTCACCTGCACCAAATTTAAGTGTAGAAATATGTTTTTTTATTGATTTATGTTGTTCATTGCATTAAGACGCTGATACTAACTGCAAGATGATAGTGGCGCATGCGTACAATATTGACTGACTTACCAAAAACATTCATTTTCTCCGGATTAAGCAGCCAATGATACAACTCCTGCGTTTCTCTCTCTGTATCTCTCTCTCCCTCTTTTCGCATCTTACTTCGTCTGTTTTTCGAGGAAAAAAATAACAACTTCAATACACGACGAAAAATTGTTAAAAAAGTCAAATCAACACCTAGGGAACCTGCTAGGGAATGTGGTTTTATTGTTACGAACATATTTTTGCATTCTGTGATGTTTTAGACACTGATAAGAAGCAAGTTTTTTCAAACTTAGACACCCCGGATCTTGGAGACCATACTTTTTACGACAATGTTTACATCAAATTTCTTGCTTCAATTTGATTCAGGGACGCGCTATCTAAGTAAGACCCTAAATAACTTCGCTCATTTTTTGATAAAATTATGATAAAGGCCTCAAAAATGAAAAAGTGCAGATAGTCTTTCGCTCGTATTACTTCCCACACCTGGCAAGAGTTGCATTCGAAAATGAGACAAATTCTTTAATTGAAGTATACCAGAAACTTATTCCACAAGCACTTAATCTCGTATACCTCATTTAAAATAGCCTTCAATTTTGGTTTCAGATCAACCACGAAAGACTTCAACATACTGCCATCATCAACTTCCCAATCAACGACAAGAACTCAACATTCTCCTATGCAACATGATCCTCCAACGCGGATTACGATGCCCCGATCGCATTCCAAAGCTCCAAGCCACAGACTGGACAATGAAGATGTTCGGACCGGATGGATCAATCCCAGGCTAATATCCAAGGTAGGCAAATCTTTTAAAGTCATACAAACTGTGGAGGAATCCATACAAATCTACAATAGTTCAAGGACTTAAGGAAACTGATTTTCCAAGGCGAATGCGCTTCTGTGAATGTTATACAAGGAAGTCTAGTGAAAATCCCGATTTTGTAAATCATGTCTTGTGGTGCGATGAGAGCAGGTTCACGAATTGTGGAGTTTTTAATAAGCATAACATTCATCATTGGGCTGTGGAAATCCCTCAAGAAGCTTCAGAGAGACGTCTATAGACCAGATTTGGAACTAATTGGTGTGGCGTCATTGGTAATTTAATTTAACTTACCTTTTTACATTGGGCACCTATCTGAAATTAAGTAGGTTTTGCAACTAAAATCCACTTACGTAGTTAGATTTGACATTGCATTACAATTTTGCAAAATGTTTGTTCAAGCGTAAAATAAACTTAAGACGATTTTTCTGACTTGCTCTTATAACCCACTCATAGTTGGGAATTTGTCCCAGAACATTTGACTTGTTGAGAAGCCGACATTAACATTAATATTCAAGTGAACAATCAAGTCGTTTATGCGTTTTGTTATGCCGTACTCATTAATGTTATTTTCTGACAAATAAATCATGGCCTCCTTAGAAAAAAACTAATACATAACTTTTTGTGTGATGACATTTTGGTAATACTCCAATCTTTTATGCACTTGTGAGAACATCACTAGACTGGAAATTTGACACTTTGTTCAAGAGTCAAATAGTCCAATATGGCGGACATAAGAAAAATGAAAGGTGAGGCGGGTTGCTGGAAAACAAAAGACGTTTGAGATTTTTAATAGATGCTATCTTAATGTTCTTAAAAAATTGTACGGATAATGTCACATTTTGACAGCTGTCAAATTAACCGTTTTCGAATTACTGACAAAAAACAAATTCCGCCATTTTCGGTTTTTCGCTGGTACTTTCAAAACCAATTGGCCTATCGTAAATCTGATGTCGGCTATCGAAAGCACTAGGTTTCCTCTAAAACTTTGCCCATTTAACCTTTGCTGTACTCATAACAGGAGTCGAGATCCCTGTATAGAGAAGCGAATCTCGGACACACTGTATATCAATTTATTTGGCTTTATTATATTTTCACACATTATAGGTTTTTTCTTATATGTTAATACATAAAAAAGTATAAGGACACAGGAATATTTTCAACACACGCGTTTTAGTTTAGTTTAGTACAGTTTCTTGTCAGAAAAGGATTAGTTTGTGTTCATCAAGTATTGTGGAATAATTTGATTGATTTTAAGACATGCTGCGTGGTCCAGAAATTTCTTTCGATGTGGAAACTAAGATCATTGATTTATACATAGATGGTCAACGTCAAGTCGATATTGTCAAAAATTTGAAGCTGAATCGTAAAGCAGTTTGGGAAATATTGATCAAATATAAAAAAAAAAAATATCTTGGAAGCCTCTAAGAGTAGCGGTCGGACTAGAAAACTAAATGCTAGATCAGTTAGATTAGTAAAAGTAATTTCGTCCAAAGATCTCTTTAAAACTCCAAGATAAATAAAAGCCGAAATCGAGACAAAAGGAAATGTCAGTGTTTCTACGAAAAATATAAGTAGAAGATTAAATGATTTGAAGTTATATGCACATCACCCGAGTAAGAAGCCGCTAATCTCCAGGAAAAACCGTAAGGATCGATTACAATTTGCACGGTTGCATCTTGATTGGAGCATCTGTGACTGGAAGAGGGTACGTTTCAGTTACGAATCCAAGTTCAATATGTTTGTATCAGATGGTGTTTATTAGACGTCCTAGTGGACAAAGATTGAACCCCAAGTACACTTTGTAAACTGTCACATGGAGGCGGGTCTATTATGGTTTGGGGTGGTTTTCGGGGTTTGCGATGGGACCTTTACATAGAATAGATGACATACTAAAGCATTTCATGTTACCCTATATGGAAGACAATATGCCGTTAAGATTAATCTTCCAGCAAGATAATGACCCGAAGCACACTTCAAATCTCACAAAGAAATTCTTTCTGGATGAAAAAATACCAGTTCTCAAATGGCCTTCACAGTCTCCCGATATATACCCCAATGAAAATCTATGGGAATACTTAGATAAGCAAATACGAGACACAAAATATTCAAACAAGGATGAACTTTTTGCCGCTTTAGAGTAAAAGTGGAGACAGATTGATGAATCTTTATCAAGAAACTTGTACAATCTATGCCGAGACGATGCCAGGCGGTGATTGATAATAGTGCTTATGCTACAAAATATTAACACAAACATTGGTTTTCTATAGTTCAATGAACTTTGCTTCTTTTTTCTATAATTGTCTTGCTTGGTCTATATATTTTTGTCCTTCATAGTTCCAGTTTTTTGATTTAATTTTTTATAGAAGGGAGTCTCATGAATTTATTTATTTATTATGCTATAACGAATTACGTATACTGGTTGGTGTATTAGTAAAACAAGTTGAAAAAGAAATACATCACATTATTAATTTGTCTGTATACTTTTGTCCATTACTGTACCTGCGCAGAGGTTTGACCGATGTCTGACAATGGACTAATTCATGGACCTGACTGACTTGATCCATTTATTATTTCTTTTGATATTCATGTTAATCCCTAACGTATCTCTCAGAGGGACAGAATAATGCTTTATGAGCTGATGACAGCGTTGCGTGGAAAGTGCAGAGTCGACCGACTCGACGTCACTTTTTGTACAACCTCGAGTAGCTCGTAGGCTTGTAAGCAACCAGTCACCCACATTGTAATGTTGCCTCAGCAAGATTGCCAGCGATAAAGCATCGTAGGAGCATCGTGCGTCTGACGCTTCCCGTTTATCAGATCTGTGCTGTGAGATCTCTGCTAATTAGCTTGGAGATTAGAACCTAAGCGGGGTTGGTGAGGGGGCAGGGTTCGGCCTTTCTGGTCACCCACCGCCAGCTCGTTATCTATCCTGATGGCTTATCAGTACATGGCAGTTTCTCTGATTCAGCATTTGCTACAATCGCTGTTAGACGAGAGAGGAGGAGAATTTTTCTGATTCTGATATTTTTTATTAGCAGGTTAACGTAAAAGGTTGTACAGAGGTAACCTGAAGTGCATTAGCATGTTTTTTCTGCTACTAAACTAACTCAAATTTCAAGTTGTCCACAGCATTGAAATTTTTGCATTTATACAGGGTGTTTCAGTTTATTGCTGCATAACCTTAAGATTCGATAGAACTTTTAAAATTAATGCATAAAGTCTATATAAAGATGGGTCGAAAAATGCGTGGCTTCCAAAATACAGGGTGTTTAAATTTACTTTCTAAAATGTTTTTTTTTAAATATTTCGAACAGTATTTGATGTATAATAGTGAAAATTGGTATACGAGGGCTTTTTGGTACGACAAAACGAACCATGCGCATAGTTTTACTGTAGCCGCTAGAGGGCGCTCTCTATTGTACATGTAGTGTATTAAAATGACCGAAAAATTTTTCTTAGTACAATTTTTTGCTTTTTGAATAAAAAAATCATTCTTCGCACTTTTCAACATAAAAAAGCTCTCCTGTGAGTTTTCGTTATAGTTAGCCGTTTTTGAGATATTTCGATTTTTAAGGTTCGATGCATTTTTAATTATTTATGGGAAAATAATATTTTTTTTTACATTTTCGATTTGGGCATTACAAGTAATTAAGCTGATCGTTTAGATTGTGTTTTTAAACACAGCAATAATTCCTAACTCCAAATAAACACAAAAAACAGGATATAAATTTGTTTAATTTTCCAATATTATTTTTAACAAGTTAAATTAATTATTTACAACTAATATGCTATTGGATAGTTAGTACAAACATACAAAATCTAAAGTAGTTGCTCGAAATGTAAACCCAATTGTTCAATACACTATTCACATCTACGAATGATCGAACGTGGTATAGCATTATTCAAATAAGGCCTTATTTCATCAGATGCATTCCTGATTCTGTCTATTAGCATATCTCTTGTGATCGTGGAGGCCAGGCGACTGGTCCTCTACGGCCGATCCATCTTTCTGGATAATTTTCGTCCAGCCCGTTTCCAACTATTCTCGAATAATGAGCTGGACAACCATCAATCTGGAACCAGGCCAATCTTCTTAAATCTAACATAACATCATCCCACAAATTTGCATGTTCAGCCTTTAAAAATTCCAAGAAGGTCGCAGCATTTAACCTTGCAGGCAAAATGTAGGGTCCAAATAGTCGATTACGGTAGATACCAATCCACACGTTCACACTAAATATGCTGAAAATTTCTTTCCCGAACTGCATGCGGATTTTCATGCAACCAAATATGTTGATTATGAAAATTTACCACTCCACGTCTAGTGAAGCATGACTCATCGGTCCACAAAAAGTTACTTAAGAACTCACTATTATTATCAGTTCTATCAAGAATCCACTGACAAAATGTGATTCTTCGTTCTCCGTCCCCTGGCTGTAGTCCTTGCACAGGTTGCAAATGGTAAAGACGTCTATGGTCATTTCTAAGAATACGGTGAACATGGCTTGCTGAAATTCCCAAGGCACCAGAAACTCTTCTAACACTTGTGGTCGAATCTCTATCAAACTCACGCAGAATCATACGGGTAAATCTGCGCTGACGAACATTTATGTTTTGATCCCTTTGGAGATTTCCAAAACCATTTTCAATTATTTGGCGATGCACTCTTACAAATACTGAGCGAGTTGGATGTCGTCTTTTTGGAAATCTTCGTGCGTATTCTCTGGCTGCTTCTGCTGCGTTTCCATTTACAAAGCCATACACAAAATGAATATCCGCTAACTCTTGATTGGAGAATAAAAATGGCATTTTTATAAAACTTACAAAAAAAAACAGGTAAAAGAAACTAAATTTCGTGCATTCACAATTGCAAAAAAACGTTTCAGGTTTCAACAGACAACAAAACTAACTGTCAACTAATTGACGCTTAACGTTATTCTGCTTTCAATTTCAAAAATATTTGCAGGCACAGCCTACTTCTAAAAATTATCGAGATACTGACTTTTTAACGTTATTTTATCATAAATAATTAAAATGCATCGAAC